CCATCTCACATTATGAAAAATCTACCAAGAAATATTTTTAAAAGAAAACCCTCGGTTTCTACAGTAGCTTTAGTTTGTAGTTCTTGGAATGAATGACTGCATTCCATTAAAGACTTCTTAGGAAGCTTCGTTTGAGCAATCCCATGTGCAAATATTAATAGAAAAATATATAAAATAATGCATCTCTTGCCATCACTTTGACAGTCCAGGACCATATTTTGGAGAACTTTTCGTATGAAAAAGGGTTAAGCTGTGAGTTTGGCCTGAAGCTCCATCTCTGCTGCTCGTTTGAGTGCAACATCGACCAGGAGCTGGAATCCGCTAAAATCCTGGGTGAGGTCCAGCGGAGTAGTGGGAGGAGTGTTGAAAAGGCCACTCTGAGGGTTTGGACTCGGTCCAGATTTGCAAGTGTCCTCAGGGTACACGAGAGATGTGTCTGTGAAGCTGCTGGCTGTTATTTGTTGTACGTCTGTGCTCTGTCCCGCACCAACCGGCTGGCAGAGAGAGAAAGGCCCATCTTTCAAAGCAGTCACAGTGGTATGGCAGATCACTGATGGGCATGCCAAAATGGATCCCGGAGAGGAAGGCTTGGGAGACACTGGCCTCCCTAGGGTTGGGTTGGGTCCAGCTGTGCAGGAATGAAACGGGCTCTCTTCTAGAGCCGGCATGAAGTTTTTGATACCCATTGCAGCTTCCACAGAACTAGCTTCTGAAATCTTGGCCCCACACGGGAAATTGTGAACTGATTTGGATCTTTGCCATCCTTTCTCAGCATGTCAGGGAGGAGCCTGCGGAGGGCGGAGGGCGTTGATGAACCAGTTACAGACCTGCAGTGTGGACAGTTGTGTCTGCTGGGAGAGCAGCGCTTTCTCTTGCTCGGAGGGATACGCATTGTATCTGTGTTCATACAGCCGGTCCTGCAGAATCTGAACAGACTCCTTGGGCAGATTGCCTCTCCTCCTTCTCTTGCCTGAGGCCGCTGAAGAGGACAGGTACAGGGGAATATCCATGCTGTCTTCATCTTCAGTCTCACTGCCAGATGCTGCAACAGGGCCCTTTTTGCTTTTCATTCTGGAACTCCCGTCCCAGCGAGAGGTTAAGCTGGGGTTTCTAGGGGCCAGCAGTCGGAGTGGCAGGGGGGGTGGGGGTGGGTGTGGGTGGGGGTGGGGGGCGCGGCGGGCGTGGCGGGGTGGGCGATGATCCTCCTTTACTGGCACTCCAGTAACTTACAGAAGAGTATTCCAGCCACTATTGCTACACAAGGTGCTTGGGGCCCAGTCGCTGGCTCCTGGGTTGGAATTCAAATGACACTTGGGCTTCCTCCAGCCAGGATCTTCTGGCCGTCAGCGGGGGTGAGGGTGGGAGTGAGGGGATGGGGGGGCTCTTTCTGGCCCAACTCACTCCCCTCCCTACTCAACTCCTTTGTTTCCCGTTCCACTCCGCGCACCTCGGCGCTGTCAGAGTGAGCTCATTGGTCTTTTTTATTACCTTCCAATGTGTTTGTCTAGATTCCTTAAGGAGACATATAAAATTCCATGTTCTGGAATGAACTACAATTAAGAGAAGATGCTTAATTACTTAATGAAGAAAGCAATCCATTTTTAATGTGTTTTAAACCTTTCATGCTTCCACAGAGATACTACACCAGTGTTGGCTTCTATTCTTAGCAAAAATTTGTTTTAATGAACTGGCTTTTGTAGAGCTCCAAATAAATTCCCACAGAGCATATCCTAAAAATACAACTTTGCATTAACATTGTAAGAAGTATGTACTTTTATAGTGTTACAAATGTTGATTTATATATTTTTTTAAATTAAAAAACCCAGAACCTCAGAAACTTCATTCAAATTCCAGGCATAGTCAACTCCATCTCCTCCAAATGCCCCAGGGCACAATAGCTCTTCCATCTATCACATCTGGAGGAACCATGATGTGCTAGGCACTCATCTAGGTCTCATGAACTGCTGTCTCTGGTTACAGAACTGCTCACAGAGAGTCTCTGAAATCTTGTCATTTCCTCTCCTCTCAACGGTGGGCTTCTAGAATAAGGGCTTATATAAAACCCTGTACTGGAGTTACCTGAGCAGTACTAAGGGTAACTGAAGTGAAGTGCCTGAGTGCTAGAGCAAGTTTCAAGCAGCCAGAAGGGCAAAGAAATGTCTTAAAGCATTTGGATCTATCAGGAACCGGGAAGGCTGAAGTACCCTGTAAATTCTACTAGGTCACAATTAGCTTCTTTTCTCCATTTTTTAATCACTTCTGAACAATGTGTTGGTGACGACTCTTTATCTCTTACTTAAGGAGTATTATCAAGTTAGCGGTTCATATTTCAGTTATATGTACATGAAAATCATTTACCAAGAAAGATAGAAATGTACTCAAATTTTCAAACTGTTACCAGAAACATAAAAATCACCACCAGCAACCATCCCCAACTAGGAAATACACCTTTCTTGCCTCATTGCTACAAAGCCAGTCATAGCACTGGACAACTGACAGCTATGGATCACAAGCCTAAAAGGAGCAGAGATAATCAGGATAAGAAGAAGGACTAAAATGTGTTTGACAAAACCAATGTCTCTGGATCCAAACTGAGGAAAATTAACAGAACAGAACAAATACATGATGTGACAAAATCTATTACTGCCAAATTAAAAGTGTTTTTGAGAGATACTAAAAAACCCAAACAAACAAAGGAATATTAAAAGAAACTAGGGCTTTCAATCAAGAGGAAAATAAGCTACCTAACAAGACCTCGACTGATAGCTGGCACTGAAGAAATGCGAGCAACTATAAGGGGCTAAGAGCCAGCTCGTGTCCTTTGTGATGGACCAGGTAGAATTACTGAATGTCTTCCTCCACAGTTCCACAGCTCTTCGCAAAGGATGTCATCTCAGCATTTCTATATGATAAATCAAAGTTTGTGATCTCCCCGCCCTCAATTCAAATGAATCTTAATCTGCAAAGCTGACGTATGCAGGGGAATTGTTTGTGAAGTTACTAGTTTCTGTAGGTAGAGCCCTCAGGAATGGACCAGTCCCTCCTAGGAGGCAGCTAAGGAGCCGTTCTCTGCCATGTCAAACCTCTGAACACAGAGAGGGTCTGCAGAAGAGCCTGACTGTGTTAGTACCTTGACTGTAGACTTCTAGGCTTTTTGAACTATGAGTAAAAAATTCCCAGTGTATAAGAGCTACACACATGTAGTATTATTCTCATGGCTGCCCAAGCTATGACACAACCTATTTTACTCCCTGTGCAGGGATTTCCTAGAAGGCTGGGATCATAGTCTTGTTTCACTGTCTCATAACATTTCTATTAATAAAGTTTTTTCCCCTTAAAATCATAAAGAATCAAAATATATTTTTCTTTTACTGTAAGATTTTGTTCCTTCTTTCACATTTTAAAGCCATTCTTTCTATTCAGTTCCCTGTTCTATTTAAAGCAATGTTTCCTCTTCCATTATTGACAGGCTAAATTATTCCAAACAATTATAGTGTACAACTGAGAGAAAAGATTGACAGTTCTCACTTTACCCTGCCTTTCACGACACTGACACTGCTGAAAACTGTCAGTCAGTTATATTGTATAGCTGACCCCTGATTTCACTCTTGACTCTGTGATTCTGATCTATGTATCCTTAAAGTCAGATTCTCAGGGACACAAGTTTCTTTATTAGTGGAACAGGTGACAGTGACCTTTTAAGAGTATTCTGAAAATTAAATGAGGCAATATAAATGATGTCTTTTTGCCTTTTTTTTAGTACAATGTCTTACCTATATTTTAGTGACTTGTTTTGTAAATAAAACCATGTACAATGAGCCTTTGTTTCATACACGTTGCCTCACTGTAAATAGCTGGTGTTATCATCTATGGCAATGCTAGCCTGCATCTCTGCTAGCTTTTCCACATTGCTCTCTCTAATTCTTGCTGATATGTCTGTATATAAGACTTCATAGTCACCTTATGAATTTTAGCTTGTGACCAATAATCAGTAGGTATTGATTTATTTACTCATATATTCATTCAATGTTATACCAAACCTACTCTCCTCTGTTAGGATATTGGACATAGTAATAAGCTACTTGTCTTCATGAATTTTAGGACTAGTGGGAAAACAGATAAATAAATAACTATAATTCAGTATAATCAGGTTTATGAGATGTGATGTCTGGGATCACAAAAAAAGCATTCTTAATGCTGGAAGTGGGAAAACAGATTTGAGATTTCACGAAGAAGATGCTCTTGTGCCTAAACTAAGGCTGCAGAATGCAGAGGAAGGAAAGGAAGAAAGGGAGCAGAGGTGTGAAGCTTACGAAGAGCAATTAGAGCCACAGAGAATAAAAGCAAGTTGGCTCTGGGAACTCTCCTGTGCTGTAAACTTGCAGTGCCAATACCTCAGGGGCTCAGAAACCTCACCAGGAAACTTCTGGTCCCAGGACTCTGAAGAGTGCATTGACAGACCTAAACCTTTGGATATTATACTGAGCTTACCTTATCTAACATCTGTGAATGGAGGTAAAATTTAAGGTGATAACTGGCTGCTTGTTCACATCCTAAGTAGGTTTGCCCTTTCTGACAAAGGCATTTCCTAATTTTTTTTTAAGAGTAAATGGCCATAAAACCCCCCTTTAATCGGCCCTTTTGACATACGCTGGTGAGAGGCTCTGAGGCTCTCAATTGTCTCTTGATAACCCCCATTCCTGTGGCTGTGGAGGTTTGGCATTGGGTCTACCTGATGCCAGAGCCAAGTTTAACATGCAAATTGGCTTTCTTCACAGTGTTACGCACCCATTACTCATTCAATATTAGTATTTACGAGACTTTGACACAGAGTGTTCAAGAGACTTTGCTGTCAGTTCCTACTATACATTCTTAACTGTCACTACCGCCCCACTCCCACCCTGCTTTTCAATCTGAACAGTAAACAGGCTGAGTTCTTAGTTTTGGTCACAGGACTCAAACCTTAACAGCTTCTTACTCAAGGTACTAATATTACATACCGTCAGTTGGTGTATCAGGAGATCCATTAAGAAGGTAATCTTGTTACTAAACAGAACATCAGTGCAATTTTCTGAACAGTTATTGCAGGTGAGGTTGTAAACATTGATTGCATTGCAGAGAGACCTAATAGGAAGAAAAACACCATTTGTAAAACCTGAGCAACTCTTCTCCCAACAATTTAAAATAATAAAGTCAATGGTATGCAAGAAACAGGCATGAGATGGAAGCTGCTCTACAAAACCATTAGGTACAGGCCCATCAGTCAGACATAAAAGGCAGCTATTTTTACTCAAGTGCAGCACTCATTAGTACCTAACAGCTCTTACTAATGTCCATTAGTTACAGGACAGACAATGTAAGGAATTTTCTAGTCTTTCTTATAATTTCTTCATTTAAGATCAGACATCAACTAAGAACCTCAGTCTTTTAAATAACACCCAGAAAAAAAAGACTGCCAAATTGCCTGTTGCCAGATCAGCTGGTTCACGACAAGGCAGCTGAAAAAACAGTGTAGAAAAACTGTAGCTATTTCCCATGAGGTAAGCCCTACAGTTCTGGGGAGAGAGTCCTACACTGTTTGAAGGGGTATACACATGGATCTGGTCCTAGGTAGATGAAGATTTCTTCCCTAGAGACTCCAAACTGGTCATGGACCCAAGCAATCCAAAGAAAACCTAGCTATAGGTTTTTCTCTAGGGGATATTAAGAAAAACCATTTTATTAATAGTTCAAAGAAACTTAAAGCAGTAAGTTCAGAGGACATGGTTCTCTCCTGAATGTTTTGTAATCTGGGCCTAAAACTGCTTGTGTGAGCAATGTTTATTTACTTTGGCTTGTCTGATTGAATTTTCTGCTTAGTCCTTCACAACCAACCTTCTAGGACAGTAGTTCTCAACCTTCCTAATGCTGTGACCCTTTAATACAGTTCCTCATTATTTTTGTTGCTATTTCATAACTGTAATTTTGTTACTGTTAGGAACTGTAATGTAAATACCTGACATGCAGTATATCTGGTATGTGTCCCCCGTGAAAGTGTCATTCTACCCAAAAGGTTCACAACCCAGAGGTTGAGAACCACTGTTCTAGGACATTTGTTAAATTGTAACCTGTCAATCAGCAGCATTGACATTACCTGGGAACTTTAAGAAATGCAAATTGCTAAGATCTACTGTATACCTAGTCAACAGAAACTTGTGTCTTCATAAAAATTTTGCAGCCAGAGATGAGAACCAAAAGTCTCAGAAACAGCATGTGAGCATCCATCCATCCATCCATCCATCCATCCATCCATCCATCCATCCATCC